GGTGATGCTCCTCCTGCCTCAGAAGCCCTCACATTCCCCTCTGCCACCAGCTTACATAAACACAGCTGTATCAGCAGCCCTCCAGCTGCCAACTCTCCTAGAAGATATTGGGCGATTTTCCTCTCTTGGCTAAAAATAAGTCCCAGGCTCTCCTGGGCAGCTGCAGGTGGTGTGTTCGTGCTGCATGCTAGGGATTTCTCAGGCTGCTCTAAGTCAGAAATGTGGCACTGCCTATATCATCAAGTCCATGGCCGAAGCTCTGCTCCTTCCTCAGGGAATGGTCACAAGTAAAATCAACATGAAAGCCTTTCTCTGGTCCCTAAAGGCCTTTGCTAACTGGATACCAACCTCTGACAAGCTACTGCAGGGGACAAGGGCTCAAGTTCCAGTCCCATGGCCTCACTGGCCTGTGATTTGTTATTCAAACTCCTTTAGCCTCAGTATCACCGTATTTATAATGGGGATGACAATCATATCTATGCCTCTTGGTAATAAGAACTCACTGGTACGTAAGAAGGACTTTGGAAACAGTTATATAAAATGGGCTAAGTTGCTGGACACTGGTGGCTTACACCTGTAATCCTCGCTACTAAGGAGGCTGAGATCTGAGGATCACAGTTCAAAGCCAGCCAGGAAAGTCCATGAGACTCTTATCTCCAATAAACCACCAGAAAACTGTAACTGGTGCTGTGGTTTAAGTGGTAAAGCACTAGCCTTGAGCTGAGTGCCCAGGCCCAGAGTTCAAGCCCCACAACCACCACCACCACTACCAACAACAACAACAAAAGAAGAATAAAAAAAGGAAAAAAAGGCTATTTTTCTCTCTCTGTGTGTGTGTGTGTGTGTGTGTGTGTGTAGGTACTGGAGCTTGAACTCAAGAGCCTCTCCCTCTCCTTTGGCTTTCTTCCTCATGGCTGGAACTCTGCCACCTGAGTCATGTCTCCGGATCAGTATTTTGATGGATACTTAGAGATGGAGTCTCGAAGATTTCCATGCCTGAGTGTCTTTGAACTATGACCCTTCAGGTCTCAGCCCCCTGAGTAATTAAAATTACAGGTGTGAGCCACTGGTACCTGACTAGATTTTCCTTACTACACTCTCCTACCTATCTGCTTTATATTAAGAGACTCTCATGTAGGTCTTTTACCCAATAAATATTTAAGTGTCTGCTATGTGCTATGAGCTGGAAATATAACAGAGAAGAAAGGAGAAAAAAAATCAGGGAGCTTAGGAGGCAACAATGCTTGATAAGAAATGTACTCGTTATCTTGCCCATGTAATTGTAACCCCTCTGTACAGTATTTTCACAATAAATTAAAAAAAAAAAACAAAAAACCAGGGAGCTTTAGGAGACTAACAAACCACAAAACTGATTATATATACAAAAGAATATAGTGTAGCTGGGTAACCTAACACTGTGGCAGATGCCTCTATTACCAGCACTTGGGAGGCAGAGGTAGGAGGAATATGAATTCAAGGACAGCCTAGGATACAGAGTGAGACCCTGGCTCAACAAAAAAAGATGAAAAGCACTAAACAGAAAAGTAAAGCAAGGACATTCATTCAAAATGAAGCAATGCTCTGTTTCTGGATGATGGAGGCCTGAAATTTAAGGGAGGGAGGACCTCACTGAGATGACATCTGTATAAGCGTCGAAGGAGATAAGGGCTAAGGCATATATACATATATGGGAGAGGAGCATTTCTGCCAAAGGGGAAGCAAGTGCAGAGGCCCTGGAATAGAAGCACATCTTGAATATGTACCCCTACCAAAATAAGGAGAGGAGTGAGGGCAGGAGATAAAATCAGAGTGGCAATGGATGAAGTCAGATGAAGCCATCCAGGGAAAGGGTTTTGTCAGCCACTTAATTGTCTTTTAGCTGGGTGATGAGGCTAACACCTGTAATCCTAGCTACTCAGGAGGCTGAGATCTGAGGATCATGGTTCGAAGCCAGCCCACATAGGAAAGTCCATGATACTCTTTTTTTTTTTTTTTTTTGCCAGTTCTGGGGCTTGAATTCAGGGCCTGGGCACTATCACTGAGCCTTTCTGTGCTCAAGACTAGCACTCTACTACTTGAGCCACAGCACCACTTCTGGCTTTTTCTGTTTATGTGGTACTGAGAAATTGAACCCAGTGCTTCATGCATGCTAAGTGACATTCCCAGCTCCTCCATGAGACTCTTTTTTTTTTCTTCTTCTTCTTTTTTGGGTCCGGTCATGGGGCCTGAACTCTGGGCCTGGGCGCTGTCACTCAGCTCTTCAGCTCAAGGCTAGCGCTCTACCACATGAGCCACAGCGCCACTTCCAGATTTTTTCTTTTTGCTTATGTGGTGCTGAGGAATCGAACCCAGGGCCTCATGCATGCAAGGCAAGTGCTCTACCACTGAGCCACCTTCCCAGCCCATCCATGAGATTCTTATCTTCAATGAACCACCAATAAACTGGAAGTGGAGCTGTGGCTCAAGTGATCAAGTACTAGCCTTGAGCAAAAAACCTCAGTATAGTCCTGAGCTCAAGCTCTAGAACTGGCATGCACATATGAACACACACACACATATATTCTCTCTCTCTCTCATATATATATAATATCCATTCTACATATTTTTATTTAGATAATTGAAAAAATAAGAATACTTCTCAACTAATTCTATGAGAATTACCATAATACCTAACCTAAAAGGTCATTGTAAGAAAAGAACACCATAGACTAGTGCATTTTGTGAATACAGTTTCAAACATCCTTAGGATTTAACAAATCAACTGTAACATATATGAAAAGGAGAATACATCAACGACTAAATGGAACAATTCCAAGGGATGCAAACTTGGCTTAAGATTTGAAAATCAATGTAATTTACCATTTTAACAGACTGGGGAAAAACTATATGACGATATTAATAAATGAAAAAAATTGCCTGACAAAATTCAACATCTATTCAGGATAACAGCTCCCAGGCGACTGTTCTACTGAGAAAAGCAGGAAGGCAGGCACAGGGGAAAGCAGGGAGAGTAGGAAAGCGTGTTCCAACAATCCTGCTAGAGAAAGATAACCTAGTCATGCATGTGGTAAAAGTGGCTGTGCTCTGGTTATTCTGAAGTGAGGCCCATAAGGATTTGCTAATGGAACGGCTGTTGGGAGTAAGAGAAGCCAATAAGGATGATATTTTTAGCCTGAGCTAAAAATAAAGTGTGGTTAATAATGAAGGGGAAGTTGGTGAGAGGAGGAAGTTTTTGTGGGCTGGATCAAGTGCAATCTTGGACATGTCACATTTGAGATGTACATTCAACATTCATGTTAAAATATCCAGGAAGCCTCAGATATAAATCTAAAGATGAGCTAATACGTAGGCTCTACTCTGGGAATCTTTGGTATATAGCTGGTGTTAAAATCTTGAAGAGCAATGAAATCACCAAAGTCTTATTAAAGAGAACAATGCCAGGCACCAGTGACTCTAGCAACTCAGGATGATGATGAGATCTGTGGATTGAGGTTTGAAGCCAGCAGGGGCAGGAAAGTCCATGAGACACTTATATCCAATAATCACCAAAAAACCAGAAGTGGAGCTGTGCCTCAAGTGGTAGAGCACTAGCTCTTAAGTAGAAAAGGCTAAGGGACGGGCTGGGAAGGTGGCTCAGTGGTAGAGCACTTGCCTTGCATGCATGAGGCCCTGGGTTCAATTCCTCAGCACCACATAAGCAAAAAGAAAAAAGCTGGAAGTGGCACTATGGCTCAAGCAGTAGAGTGCTAGCTTTGAGCTGAAGAGCTGAGGGACAGCGCCCAGGCCCAGAGTTCAGTCAGACCCCATGACCAGACACCTCCCCCCCCCCCCCCGCAAAAAAAAAAAAAAAAAGAAAGAAAAAGCTAAGGGCCAATGCCCAGACCCTGAGTTCAAAAGCAAAATACAAACCAATAGCAAAAGAATAACTTCAATAAGGGGTGCCATGGTGACACCACTTAGCCACATATGCAAAAAATCCACACACAAAAGAATGTTGTGGGCTCTCTAGCTCATATGAGGTGTGAAATTAACTCAAAGATCCAAATATAAGAGCCAAATCTCTAAGAAGAAAACAGGTATAAATTTTGGTGGCTTTGGATTGGGCAATAGCTTCTGGGATATAACAAAATCACAAGCAACAAAAGGAAAAACTAGGTAATTTGGGATTCATCAAAATAAAAAATGTATGGGATTGGAGTACATCTCAGGAATAGATACATGCTCAGCATGTGAGGCCTTGGGTCCAATCACCAGCACCAAAACAAATCAAAACAGAAACTTAGGTGCTTCAAAAGTCATTATCAGGGCTGGGAAGGAGGCTCAGTGGTAGAGTGCTTGCCTTGCATGCATGAGGCCCTGGGTTCGATTCCTCAGCACCACATAAGCAAAAAGAAAAAAGCTGGAAGTGGCGCTGTGGCTCAAGTGGTAGAGCGCTAGCCTTGAGCTGAAGAGCTAAGGGACAGCGTCCAGGCTCAGAGTTCAGGCCCCACGACTGGACCCCCCCACCCCAAAAAAAGTAATTATCAGGGGCTAGGAAGGTGGCTCAGTGGTAGAATGCTTGCCTTGCATGCATGAAGCCCTGGGTTCACATAAACAGAAAAAGCCACAAGTGGCGCTGTGGCTCAAGTGGTAGAACGCTAGTCTTGAGCTGAAGAATTGAGGGAAAGCACCCAGGACTAGAGTTGAGGCCCCATGACTGACAAAAAAAAAAAATACACTTAAAAAAATCTTTATCAAGCTGGCACCATCCTAGCTACTCAGGAGGCTGAGATCTAAGGATCACAGTTCAAAGCTAGCCTGGGCAGAAAAGTCTGTGAGACTCTGATCTCCAATTAACTACTAGAAAAACAGAAATGGCACTGTGGTTCAAGTGGTAGAGCGCTCACCTTGAGCTGAAGAGCTCAGGGAGAGCACCCAGGCCCAGAGTTCAAGCCCCATGGCCAACAACAACCACAACAAAAGTCACTATCAAGAAAATCAAAGAAGTAGCACTTGTTTGTTACTTTTGTGTGTGTGTGTGTTTAATTTGTAACAAAACCTTACTGACAGATGCAAACAGTAAATCCTCTTTTGCAATCCAGAACTCATTGTTGAGTATGAGTTTTTGGTACATGTAAGAATATGGGCAGACACCAGTGGCTCCTGCCTGTAGTCCTAGCTACTCAGGAAGCTGAGATCTGAGGATTGCGGTTCAAAGTCAGACACAGCAGGAAAGTCAGTGAGACTCTTATTTCCAAATAACCACCAAAACACTGGAAGTGGCGTTATGGCTCAATGTGGTAGAGCACTAGCCTTGAGCAAAAGAGCTCAGGGACACCCACGCCCTGAGTTCAAGCCCCTAGACCACCACCACCAACAACAGAAAGAAGGATTATAATTCCTACAATAGTTGGTAATGATGGAGCTTGTTAACTCTGCAGGTTGGCTCTGAAAATAATGTTGATGTAAAGGCAAAAAACAAAAAAACAAAACTTCACAAAGGAGAGGAAAACCTTCCTTTGTCAAACATGTATCCTGGGGTGTTCTAATAGCCATGTGACTGAGCCATGTTAGAAAGGGATCCTCCAGTTTCAGTGAAGCTTCCAAATTACCACAACTCAACCAAGAGCTTGCAATCTAATGAGAGATTCTGAGGCACAGCATCTAGTTAAACTTTTTCTATGATGAAGAGTACAGTTTAATGGTAGACCATTTGTGTAGCAGGTGTGAGAACCTAGGTTTAATTCCCCAGCACCACTGACTCCTCCAAAATACACTGTACCTAATTCCTGACTCATAGAAACTGGGGGATAACAGAGGCAGCATAGGATGAGACAACAAGGAACTTAGAAATAATGAAAGAATCTTTAAAGAGTCACAGTGAGGAAACTGAGAGGATTAGGAAGTGAAGCTGAAAAACCAGCGAGGGTAGCAAGCATTTCTCCCATCACCCTCCTTTCTTAGAAGCAAAGTGCGTTGCAATCTCACAAGAAGAGTCATTTAGTTTTAGAAAGAAAGGGCCCAACGACTGTACCCATGGTCTCCATGTTTTGAGTAATAAGAAAATCCATCCTTGCCCTCATGGTTTGGGGTAATAATCGACCTATCCTATTATCTCCATGTTTGGGAATTAAACAAAACCAGAGTTTCCTAGGGAGTGACGTCATATCCAGATAAGGATTTAAACTGAATCTGAGCTCAGAAGGTATAAATATACCTGGGGAAAAGACTGACATTTTGAGTCCCTAATAGGCAGGGAATATTCTCTCCGTTGACTTCTCCCTACTTTGTCCTGCTTGGCTAAATAAATCTTTGCTGGGTTTCCATTATAAGCATCTTCCTCTTTATTGTGTGAAGCCCCTCAAAATGATTTTTCTTGTGGATTTCAAGTGATGGTGGTTTGTGTGGAAATCTACTTGGGGATTCCCCCTTTCCCCCTTTTCTTCTGGTCCTGGGGCCTGAACTCAGGGCTTAGGCTCTGTCCCTGAGCCCTCTGTGCTCAAGGCTAGCGCTCTACCACTTGAGCCAGTGCCACTTCCAGCCTGTTCTGTGTATGTGGTACTGAGGAGTTGAACCCAGGGCTTTATGCATGCTAGGCAAGCACTCTACCACTAAGCCACTTTCCCAGCCCATTCCGCCCCCCTTTTTTTTTTAAATTGGGGAATCTTCCATATTTCTTTCTTTTGTCTGATGATACAAATATCTCTTATTTTAAGCTGCTAAGTTTGTGATAGGTAACATAATACATATGCAACAGATAATTCAAATGTTGAAGGCAAATATATCTCCTCCATCTTTCTATTTCAATACAATCGACCCTTTGCCTGCCACAAAGCATGTCATGAATACAGAGCACAAGGCTTTCTTGTCCCACTTTCTCTCCCCACCTTCTCTGATGTGATCAGCACACATTTCATTGTTTTGCATGAGATAGTATGGCATATAAATATCTAAGCCAAGTCTGTGCTGGTTCCATCTCATGTGCTGTCACTTCATTTCCTTGAAGAAGCTGACATTTTCACCAGTGTTTCCAACCAGCAGATCTTTAGGTGAGTGTCAGAGCCATGGGATACTAGGTTTTTGAAATGCTTCCACTTTAGTCAGGAGTGGAGTCCACTAAGAACCAAGTCTGGCTCTCTGGACCTTTCTTGTCTGTTCCTGATTTAGGCAGCCCTCGCAGCATTATGGCAAGCACCTGTCGACTGTACTCTGAGCACAATTTGAAAAGGAACTCATCTCTTCCCTGCAGTGGGAGGGCAGCTAAGAGCATTCAGATATTTTGAGATGAAACTGTTACCATGGGAATGTTGCCATACCTCTCCCTTACTAATGATGGGTAGAAACAATGACTAGTACAGCTCTCAGAATCTAGAAATAGAGGAAACAAGGAAGAAAAACTAAAGCTGGAAGAATAGGTTCCCAAAGAAAGGCCTGCTTAGTTGGATTCAAACTCTACCCTTCGGGGCTGTATTCTAGAATGTGAGGTCATGCCAGCAGTTTTCCCACAAAGGTCAAGTTTCCCATGTGGCCTTGAGATAGGTGGTCCTGAAGTGAGTGGGGATTCAGCAGTACTGTTGACAAGGGGTCTAAGTCTGGTATTCCCTTCCCAGGCACTGTGTGTGTGTGTGAGGGGGGGGGGGGGGGGGAGGGAATCCAGATGTTTTTAAGTACATCCCCAGGATCTCGGTCAGTCTCCTGAAAGAAGCAGCATTCTTCTTTCCAGAATTTCCTATGCTGTGCTGCCCAACAGAGCTTCTTAATCAAAAGAGAACTTCCCCTCCACCCAGAATGAAGTGCTGTAGCCCCCATCTTATCTCCCCCACAACACCAGTGAGCTCCTGTATCTACAGAACCTTAAAAGAAGCAACACATGACTTCAAATAATTTATCTTCAAAATAATGTGTCTTCTCAAATATGGTATATAACATGTGAACACTGTTATATATTACAGACTGTGGTAGACAATTTGCTCCAGGGAAGTTAGAATGAACTTGTGACTTTGAAATTATGTAATCATTTAATCACAATCAAAAAAAAAAAAAAAAAAAGAACCTCGGGGAAGGGAGGGAGGGAGGGGATGGTAGGGGGAAAACAATGGAGGGGGTAACAATGTTCAAGAGGAAGTGTACTCATAACCTCACTCATGTAACTGTAACCCTCTGTATAGTAGCTTTACAATAAAAAAAAAAAATAATGTGTCTTCTGTGACAAGCACAGACAAGCTTTTCTAAACAAGTACCCAGTGAAATAACGTGGCTGACCCTGTCTATTGCATGATCCAGAACCACACTTTCTTTCCTTTTTGGGGGGAGGGTGGGCAGGGGGGGGGGGCCTGGGCACTGTTCCTTAGCTTTTTCACTTAGTAATGAGCCACAGATCTACTTCCAGCATTTTGATGGTTAATTGGAGATAGGAATCTCACTGACTCTCCAGCATAGGTCCACTTCATACTGCAATCCTCACATCTCAAACTCCAAAGTAGCTAGGATTCAGGTGTGAGCCACCAGCACCTGGCAGAATCCCATATTTTCTGTGCTAAAGTTTATGATCCACTAAGGAAATATATTTTATATTTGATCTGCCCAAAACATAAGATCAGCAGAGGGAATACAAGAGTGAGTTCTAGCCTGGCACTGGTGGCTCACACCTGTAATCTTAGCTACTCAGGAGGCTGAGATCTGAGAATGTGGTTCAAAGTCAGACTGGGCAGGAAAGTCCGTGAGACTCTTATCTCCAATTAACAACCAGAAAACCGGAAGTGGCACTGTGGCTCAAAGTGGTAGAGTGCTAGCTTTGAGTGAAAAAGTTCAGAGACAGTGCCTAGGCCCCAAGTTCAAACCCCACTATCGGGGAAAAAAAAAGTGAGGGAAACCACCCAAGGCAAGCTTCTTCCTTGGCACACTTCCCAGTCCCTTGGCATTAGGTTCTCCATGGTCCTGGCATGTAAGACACTACCTGTGACAGGCATCTCTTAATTATTTCTTACTGGTTGCTGGCTAGGCAGAGCTTTATTTGGACTTGGTCATTTTTGGCATCACTCCCCAGATGTGGCTGGATCCTGATGCCAATGGAAGGTGATATTATGTCTGCACATGACTGGCAGCAGTTGTAATCTGCTATGTTTCAGCTGCCACTTAAACATAACAGCTGAACACAGCTTCCATGCTGCTGGGGATGAACACCTATTCTGTTCCAAGCATATCATTACACAGTATACTTTCCAAATTCAGCTGCTACTTTGACAGATTCTTGTAGAAGTGTGTCTCACGTTTTATATGCCAAATTGAGGCGATTCCTTTTATGAAACAGTTACTGAATTCCAGCCACAGAAGATACCTGAACTTTTTTTTTTCTTTCTCTATACTGGCACTTCAACTCAGAGCTTCCTGTTTGTCAAGCAGGAGCTTTACCACTTGAGCCACAGCTCTAGTTGCATCAGTTATTTTCAAGCTAAGTTCTTGTTTTATGGCCTGGCAGGACTATGGACTGTGATCCTCCTATTTGTGCTTTTTCTGTGACAGGTGCATACCACTGTGCTCAGCCACTGATTAAGATGGAACACCTCAAACTTTGATGCCAGGGCTGGCCTTAAACCTCAAACCCCTATCTCCACCTCCCACATAGCAAGGGTTATAGACCTAAGTTTTGATGCCTGGCTTGAGTTCTTTAGCCCAAATGAAACTAACTACTCTTTATTATAAATTACTCAGGACATAAATTGAACATGAACTCATCAGAAAGATTTCTAAGATCTCCTCAACTGGAGAAAATCTCTCATTGTTTGAATCCCTTTGCACTTGATCTTATCTTCTACAGTTTGATCACAGGGTAGATATTTATGTACATATTATCTCTCAATTTGGTAATGGAAGATCTTTGAATCAGGCATTTACCTGTAACTATTTCATCTTTACTTCCTACGATACCAGCCCAGAATCTTACATAAAGGAGATTTCAAATACACATTTCTGGAGGGACAAATGACTGAGTAGTGCAGAATCGCTATTGATAACTGAGTATAAAAGGAAGTGACACTGTTGAGGAATATAAATGGGGAAAAATGATGCAGATAAATAGGGGAAGCCAGGAGCATTGGCTCATGCCTGTAACTGTATCTACCACTTGGTGCTCTAAACATGTTCCAGATGAG